TTCCAGCCTAGAGCACTCGGGCCCCCCGAGTGGGAAACTTGGAGAGCCGGTCACCGGGCTCCCGCGAGGCGCCCGAGGGGTCCCCGCTTCCCGATGGCCGGTGTAGAAGTCGGAGGTAGCTGCACAGCCACCTCCCGCGCCGCCACGCGACTCGCGTCTCCTTTTTGGGGATGTGAGAAGCTGGTTACGTTCTCAGAAGCTGCTTTCGAACTGACATTTCGGGAGGGAGGGGAAGAAATCTCAAACGGGTCTGCCGAGTTCCGTTCCTTCTCCCTCCCTCTCTCAGCCTCATCCCTTTTCTTTACCCTGTTACCCTTTATTGGTCTCTCTTCTTGATTCCTCGTTCACGTTTTGCTGTTCTGTTTCACTCGGTTTTGTCTCCTGGGGTTTCCTGTACGAACGCTCTGGGGACTCACGGAGGGGACCTTTACTAGCTTTGGCCTCGTGGGAATTTTTTGCCACTTTGGGTACCGGTCGTCCCCGAGGGCAGAGTGGGGAGCAGTAGGTTCACACGGGGTTCTCTTCCAGCCCTGACTTGGAAAACAGGTTAAAGGAATGTGTCGCCCAGGTGTGACATCTTTGGGGGCTGGGGCAGAGCTGCTCTCCTGGGAGCCGATAAAGACCAGGAAGTGCAATGTCTCTTCCCCCAGGGAATCGCCTGGGGTTGGGGGAGCTCTGGACCCGGTATCCTAAGCAAATCCCTCCTTATGGCCAACTTTAAGAGCATTTCCTGGGCTTTACCCTGGCAAGAGTTCTAGAAAAGTTGGTTTTCCTCTTAAACTTTAAGAAAACATTTTAAAAGTATCTTTAAATTTATGGGATTGTTTGACACATAGTATGGTTTCCAAATACCTTTCCTCCAGTTTCTGGATTCTTAGTTGCAGGAGAGTTGTGACTTTTTTTTTTCTTCTCCAGACAGGGTCTCACTATGTAGTTTAGGTTGGCCTTGAACTCACTGTGTAGCCCAGGCAGACCTCCAACTCACAGATTCTCCTGCCTCAGCCTCCCGAGTGCTGGGATTACAGGTGTGCGCCACCATGCCTGACCTGAGTTTTTACATTTAATGGTTTATGATGAAAGTGGGTTAGGGGTTCAGCAGGTGTTAGCACCTCTGTCAGTCCCGTGCTTCTCAAAAAAAAGAAGGCAAGAAAATGATAATCATGAGCTGGGGCGTGGTGGTGCATGCCTGTAATCCCAGCCCTCCAGGCTGAGGCTGGAGAATTGAGGAGTTCAAGGGAAACCTGAGCTACACAGTGAGTTCGAGGTCAGCGTGAAGTACATAGTGAAACCCTGTCTTAAAAAAGAAAGAAAGAAAAACAAAAAAGATCACGAGTGTTACTATACTCAGTTCTTCCATGAGAAGTAGTTATAAATGAAAGGGCTGTAAAGAGGAGCAAGTCCACATTTCTGAAAGGGAAATCCTCAACCCTGGATAGCATACTTTCTGGGAAGATTTTCTTTGTCTTTATGCTTGAGTAGCATCGGCCTGGGGTTAAAACATAGGCTCTGAAGGCAGCCAGCACTGGGTATATTCATTTCCCCTGACTGCTGAACATGCCGCCACAGCCTACAAGAGCAGTAGTGTGTTCTCTCTTAGCGTGTTGCCTGAAGTCGGAAATCACGGTGGCAGCAGGATCTCCTTCCTTCTGAGGACCTAGGGGAGGCCCCTCCCTGGCCTTTCCCAGTATCTGGTTTGGCTTGTGGCGGTAACACTCCAGTGTCTGCTTCTGTCTTCAAAACAGCCCCTCTGTTCCCTTTCTCTCTGTACTGAGAATTGAACTCAGGACTTTGCACTTTAGAGGCAGGTGGTGACCGCTGAGTCCTGGCCCGGCTCTTGTCTCCCTTATTTTTAGTACTATACTGGGATTGAACCTAGGGCTTTTGAACTGAGGTAACTTACCAACCCTTATCATATTTGAGAGGGATCTCACGAAGTCCCTACATTGGTTAGATACTACTCTTAAACTTAGCCAAAAGACTGAGAATTCCTACATTGGTCGGGTTGAGCGCAACTTGCAAACCTGCCTCAGCCTTCCAGGGTGCTGGGATTACAGGCTTGTCCAACACTCTTGGTTTTGTCAATTTTTCAAAAATTTATTTATGTATTTATTTTTAAATTTTTTGGTACGGGGGATTGAACTCGGATCCTTGCACTTTGGAGGCAGGCAATGACACCACTGAGTTAAATCCCTGGTCCTGTAGATGTTTTTTTAATAACATTGGGCCGTGGCTTTAGGGCCTGCTCTGAATGTAGGCTGTCCTCATCCCAAGGTCTGTAACTTAATTACATTGCCAAAAACCATGTTTCCAAATAAGGGCATCTTCTCCGATGCCAAAGTTTAGGACTTCGTAGACATAATCATTCTTGGATCATGCTTTGTAGGCCAGTCGTGTGTCCCGCCACTTTGCTAGCTGTGGGATGTTGTGCCTCAGTCTCCTCATGGCTAGAATTGGGGAGATGTCACACTCCTTTGGGCAGCCTTGCTTGCTCTTTTTTTTTTTTTTTTTTGTGGTACCAGGGATTGAACTCAGGACCTTGCACCTGGGTCTTTCTTGCTCAATGAATGAATAAATACCTTGTGTGTGTGTGTGTGTGTGTGTGTGTGCACACGCGTGGTACTGGGGATAGAGCCCAGAGCTTTTACACTGAGCTACATTCCCAGCTCTTTTTATTTTTTATTTTGAGACATGGTCTTGCTAAGTTGCCTCATCTGGGCTTGTATTTGTGATTCACGTGCCTCAGCCTCCTTGGCAGTGGCACCTCTTCTTGACAGGCTGCTGCTCTGGTAGGACATAGCTGGAATGGGATGGGAGGGGCAGCAGAACTGTTCTCAAGTGTTCCTTCTGATGCTGAGCCCAGGACCAGGGTGCAGGGCTGCACACAGCTGATCTGAGAGCTGGGCGGACAGAGTTCCCAGGAGAAGCCCAGGCCTTGCCCTGGGTGAACTTCCTTTCCTGTCTTTGCCCAAT